GCTCACTATAGCCCCTCTACAGGCCCCCCCGAGCTCCCTATAACCACACTATAGCCCCCCCTCCCCCTAGAGGTCATTATAACCGCTCTACAGCCCACCCCAGCCCGTAAAAAGCTACCAATCAAGGGGCCATCCTCAGCTCCTACAGAGCTCCCTATAACCACTCTATAGACCCCCAGCCCCTAGAGAGCTCCTTATAGCCCCTCTACAGCCCCCCCAGCCCATAGAGAGCTCCTTATAGCCCCTCTACAGGTCACCAGAGATCTCTATAGCACAGCATCAGCCCCCCAGCCCCTAGAGAGCTCCCTACAGGCCCTGTACAGCTCCCACAGACATCCTTTTAGTCCCTCTAACCCGCACTCTAGCCTCTAGGCAGCCCCTTATAACCCCTCTACAGCCCCCCACAGCTCCCTAAATTCCCTCTACAGACCACCAGCCCCTAGAGGTACTTATAGCCCCTTTATAGCCCACAGTCCCTGCAGAGTTCCTTATAGCCCCTCTAGAGACCTCCAACCTCTACAGAGCTCCCTATAGCACCTCTACAGCTCCCCCCAGCCCCTACAGAGCTCTCCAGAGCCTCTTTGAGGCCCCACAGTCCCTATAGCCTCCCTATAGCCCCGAAACAGCAGCCAGAGTTCCCCAGCCCCTCTAGAGCTCCATCAGCCCCTACAGAGCTCCTTATAACCCCTCTACATCCCTCCCCAGCTCCCTGTAGTACCTCTACATCCCCTCAACAGCCCCGAGCCCCTACATAGCTCCCATAATACTGTCACGTCCCGCTCCGACGAGGGGGGCAAGTGACTCAGATTCGCAAATCCCCAATTGGAGCGGACAACAAGTCTCCAAGTTCAAGCATTTATTAACTACCTACAATGCACTAATTGAACACATGATAATTGGCTAAGTACAGAGCAAGCTGTGGCAAGCAATACAATATGGTTTGCATTTCTTAATAGAAAAAGAGGGAGATAGAGGGAATGGGGGAATACAGATCACCGGTCTGGGTTCCTGTGCTGATCCTGCCAGCGAGGGTTCCAGGAAGCGGCCGTCTTCCTTGCTGGCATCCGTCTTCTTTGCTTCACTGCTCCCTCCAGACGGCTGGGGGGGCAGGGAGAGGGGCAGAGAGAGACCGAGCCCTTTCTTCTCCCCTTTGATTTATACCCACTTTCCTTGGGTCCGTCCCCTAGGTCAACCCACAGACCTACGTATCCCATGTACAGGGAGGAGTAAGGTGTTTCACGGGATGATGTCACTAGCATGACCATGACAGCCCTCGTTAGCATAGTGAGGGTGTTAACTTTAATATGCATTTCGTGGATAATGCAGCAAAGTTCATTCACTGGACACTTGGCCCTTGCAATCTGCCCAAGTGCCCCAGGGAAGGGCTCTCTCCCCCCAGATACATCGGGCAGCCTTATCAGCTTCGGCCTCCACAGAAAGCACCCTATGACTGATGGTTTTGTCTTGCGAGTGTTTGAGGCATATTTTCAATCAGCCTCAACTTTTGCTTTCCCAGGCTGTTTCTCTTAGCTTTTCACAGGCCTGGTTGCTCGGATCTCACAACACCCCCTGTACATCCCTGGGCACCTCTACTATAGCCCAGTGTCCCACCCACCCATACCAGTACAGCCCTACCTCCTCCCAGTCCCTCCCAGTCTAGCTCTGTTCTCCCCCCAGTTCTTCCCAGTCCCCACTCACCTTAGCCTCCCCCCACCAGGAGGTCAATGAAGAACTGGGGGTTCAGGTACTCGTTCTGGAGGAGAGGGGCAGGGGGAGAGTAAGAGCCCTCCCAGTATAGCGCAGTAATTTCCAGTATGTCCCAGTTCCCCTCTTAGCGCTCCCCAATTTATCCCAGTATGTCCCAGTGCCCTTCAGTACACCCCAGTAAACACCCAGTGTGTCCCAGGGCCACCCCAGACTGTCCTGATGACATTCCCAGTGGCCCCCAGAGCTCACGGCCAGCAGCAGGTCAAGCTTGACTTGCAGCAGCAGGACATCAGAGGTGACGGTGGCCACACGGGGGATTTGGGGACCCCCACCCTCGGGGGGAAGCTCAGCCCCTGCCCTGTCTCCTCCGTGTACCCCAACAGACGCAGCACCCCCCAGCCCCCCTGCAGGTGAGGGGGAATTGGGGTGACCCGGGGGGGAAACTAGGGACCTACAGCAGAATACTGGGGTGAAAGGGGAGTATTGGGGTGCTGTAATGGGATACTGTGTGATATGAGGGATACTGGGGAGGACACTAGGAGTACTGTGATTGTACGGGGGAACATTGAGGTGCTATAGAGGATATTGGGGTGATATGGGGGATTGAGTTACTATAGAAAAATACTGGGATGCTAGAGAGGGATCCTGGGGTTCTGTGGGGGATATTGGGGTGATATGGGGGGACTGGGGTCCTTGAGGTTTTGGGGTGGCAGATCGGCTTTTGGGGTACCTGCACATCATCGACAGTGCCGCGGAAGACGGGGTTCCCGAAGCGGACAGCGCAGCAGTGTGGGGCTGCAACAGCTTCTGACCGTACTTCTCCAGGATGCTGAGCGCTGTCCGTGGCCCCTCCAAACGCTGTGGCTGCACGCCCCAGCGGCTAGAAGGGGACAGGGAGTGTCAGAGAGAGCCCCCAAACCCCCACCGCACCCCCATATGCCCACACTCCCCCTCCCACTACCCCCATATTTTGAGTGCCCTCCCCTGCATTTTGGCTGCCCCCACCTCTCCCATTTTGGGGTCCCCCCCACTGCTCCAGGCACAGGTTGTGGCACAGCAGTCGGGCATCGTCCAGGTGCCGACACTTGTATTTGGGGGGGGCGGGGGACCCCCAAAATCGGGCTCAGCCCTGCCGGTATTGCCTCCACGAGGTCCTGGGTCCGAGCCGCCTCCAGTGCCGCACGCAGTGCCCCGAGAT